CGAGACTTAGTATAAACTGGCAGTCCGGTTTGGAGACGACAGCAGGCGCGCAACTGGTGTCGACTCCAGCCATGTCATAAATGTCCCTAGCCATGTACAAGGCAGGTAACATGGACTCCAGTCTACTAGACGAGGCAGACCAAGTGCAACGGGTTTTGTCGTAAATGAATTCATTTCCCACCGCCAAGTCAACTTCCGTTCACCTCGAGCCTGGCACCACCCTACATCTGGCAGACTAAACATGGCCATCCTCGGTTAGTGTTGACCGGGCATCTGTAGTACATGTCCAAGTCAACGCAACTTATTCAGTGCCATCTGTTGTCCTAAGGAACTAGCATGATTATCACTGTATAGTACTCACCCACACACATCATCGTTGCAGACGCGCTGGTACCACCCGACACTAACAGAGCTTTGCAGGTAACGATGATCAGACTTGAAGGCACCGCAGATCTTCATATCGAAGGGGCCAAGTCTCGATTCCATTGAGTTGGACGGCCCTCATTGTAGCCTTGTAAACGTATCTTTCAGACTGAGGGAAACCCCGTTCTGATACCACCTATTTCGAACATTCAATGGGAGCATCTCTAGCTTTCGCAATACGTGATCATCATTATCAGGATTACACATTAGATGAAGATGCGAACACACTTTAGCTATTGTACCGAAATACGTAAAGATACGATATGTGAAAAAGCAAGATGCTGAAAAAGGCCATTCACAACACAAACGCCATGGAAGCCAACTCCTTGCCGCATTCAGAACGTGAGCCCCGCTCTAAAATTGGGACTATTATCGAGCGGCTCTAGTCTGCTGGAGCAGTGTCTATCTCCCACTGCTTTACAAGTAAGTTGTGTGTAAGTTGTGCATCTACAAGAGAAGGTCTTCCGAGTTTGAAGGGAGCTGGAGGGCTTCTATCTGCTCCTGAGACCTTGTATACTTACAACAGTCTGACTTCTGCGCCTAAGGGCGGGTCCGTGGGGACGGCCCAAGGAGAGGATCGATCGATAGCCGAAGCTGCTAACTCTAAATGATCAGGCTGTTTTTTCAGTGTTCAGCTCAACGCTCCAATGGTTTCAACCAACTGTGGGTCGACCGTCCACTTTCCTCACGTACGGTCTCGCTAACACCAGGTCTCTTTCTGCCCGGTTTGCGTATGCAACGGAATAACTTCCGATGATTTCGACGAGCAGCGGCCATTTCCATCTCCGAGGCACCATGAGACCACCACGCTTCGCGGTCTCTCTTCAGGCTAGCACGCAGTTTCGCCCTGAGGTCTTTGCGAGTCTCGTTGCGTTCGCTCCCAGCCGGAATGTGTCGGCGAGCATCCAAAAGTTCTAGAGACTGGTGGTCTGAGTGTTCACTGAGGTCGGCAGTTTGGCTGCAAACGTTTCGTCATCACTCAAGATGACGTCGTCATTGCGCGTTTATGTAGCGTGGCGGCGCAGTACGAAGCGTTAAACCGAAAGTATGGATCTGGTACGTGAACGACACGTTTGTCACCATCAAACGAGCTTCCAAACCAAATACCCGTGAGCTATTCAACAACACATTTCAGGATATCAACTTTACCATTGAACTCGAAAAGGACAACCAATTACCATTCTTAGATGTACTGGTCCACAGAAATACTGACGGAAAACTTCAAACATGTGTGTCTCGAAAGAAGATCCATACAGACCAGATATTAAACTACCACAGCAATTATCCACTGAACCACAAGAAAAGCTGCATTCATCGCCGAAACACACTGCAGCACTACAGAATTGAGGAGGAAGGAAGCGAACCATCTATACCGGGTATTGCAAAACGACTTGTATCCAAGAAATTTCATCCGAAGAAGCCTAATAGAAAGAGTGTCTCAACAACAGCGGGAACTCGTAAATAAACGGATAGCGCTTCCTTACATCAAGAACTTGTCCGAACTAGCATCGAGAGTACTACAATCACATGAAATCTTGGTAGCCCACAAACCAACTGTTACTTTCAGACGATTACTTTCAAAGCCGAAAGACAAAGTCAAACAGGGCAGTCAGAATGATGTCATCTACAAAATAAACTTAAAAGAGTGTCAAACACTACATCAGGCAGACTGCAAGAAAACTTTTAACACGGATCAACGGACACAAAATGCCCATATGTAGACAGGACCCGCATTCACTAGTTTCCATGTATGACGACCAGGAAGGTTATCACTTCGACCTAGAAATCGTAAAGATCCTAGTCCGTGAAGATTCGAGGCAAGCTAGAGAGTTCTTGGAAGCATCGTATTCTACAGACAATTCAATAAGCCAGCGCATTGAAATAGATGCTATTTATGCAGCACTGCTGATGAAAGATCATCGAATTAGTCGACTAAATATTACGGGACAGAAGGCCGGACAAGTGCGTCAAACGACGACGTCAACGGAAGAGGCATTGCTCTTAGGCTACGAGGCACGAATCAGACATCGATTTCGATAGTCATGTGCCCGTCGAACAATCCAACTCGGACTGACGGCTAGAAGATCGAACACACTCAGTCACTGCCGTTTCGTACCGCGCCGCTCCGCTACATAAACGCGCATTGACGATGTCACCTTAAGTGGTGACGAAGCGTTTGCAGCCAAAACGCCGACTTGGCCGGTTCTCGAAGCTGCATCGTCACCGGATAGACGCAATGAGAAAATACTGCTTGCGTCATCGGAATGGGATCGCAAAGTGAGCACAGAGCTCGAGTCTTGCAGGCGGGTCTCCGATAAGCAGCAGATATTAATCGAGAGGATCTCTAATGTTCGAGCAAGTGCTGCCTGTTGACCGCTTTGTAGCAATGTGCGTACATTGAGGCATGCCAATCTGAAGGAGGATCGAAGGCTCCAAATGGAAGTCGATGCACTGGGCTTGGCCGCTCCGGGTTAGCATGTGAGTTAAAATTAGAAGATAAACGCCTAGCAAAGGAAGGTGGGGGTGGCCAAGAATTTGGGGTTGAAAACTGGAGGGATAAAAGTGAAGCTGGAATGGGACGGTAAGAGTGAACAAGCTTAAGAGGGGGAATAAGAAGATGGGAAGTCTTGATCCGCAGCATCCAAACTCCTATCCATCCTCCTCGATGCAGCAGATAAGGCACCGCTGATTATCCTCTGCGGTGGCCAGAGCAAGAGAAATTTGTTTGAAGAGATATTCATTATATTGCGTGGGCAGGATACTGTCAGGTTGCCCAAGCCTAGACAGAAGAACGATTAGGGTTCTCAACCAAAGCCTCTGGTACAAAAACCTTACCGCAAAGCAGCGCGTTTGGTGTTGGGCTACAAGCATTCCGTTTTAATGAATAAGGAGCCACCACATTTTAACCCCCAACCTGGAGGACCAGGAGGCTGAGTTTGTCTGGTCTCTAATCATTGACTCAGTCTGGTATGAGTGACCCTAATGTTGCATAATCACCACCCAGCATAGCTCATTGAATCGCTGAGGCACACAAACCATCGCACCACGGTAAGGTCCAGCCTCACTGCGATGGGCTTGATCCGAGAATTTTTTTGATTCTGCTCAAACGCTTGTGCTTGAAACGGGCTGTTGATATGTGACTTACGATCGGCTCATAGTTTAATACGGTCTTCTCTATCATAATTTTCTTCTCTAGATGTCTTCCGTAGTGATCTTACTCTAGTGCGTGACTATCTTAGATTTCCATATCTTGCACACACATGTACACCGATCACCATGTGCGATCTTCTTGGCCCAGTAATGTGGGCTAGTTGGAGGAGCCTATAATATTTGCTCACTGTTATCGCCTCTCCTATTTCCTAAGCTTTCTGTTTCCATCAGATTCTCTACCAGTTCACAGATTGTTCGTCTAATCGCGTTGTGCTCGTTGTTCGCGGGTACTTTCCGAATTCCACTGGCCTTCGGCATATTCACTGTCGCATTCACTGACAATTGATAGTTACAGCTAGTCATATCCCGCAAAGATACATTTTTCATAGACACAGGCGGCTAAACCATCATAGTCTGCAGTGCATCCTAGTACAGTTGTGTATCCAGTTTGCTACGCATCTTGCTGAAAGCCTATATTGAAATTAGGTGTTGCAGTCACATTTGCGAAGCACAGTAAGATGACGAAACCTAATGGATACATGCATTTCCTATTGTCTCCCTCGTACCATTAGCAATAACCCATACGCAACTGTATACCTAACAATATGTGTGACCGAATAAGTTTGAGTTACTAAGTAAAAAAAACGGAATTTTCACCCCTGTGCATGGACTGGTGTTCTGCTGGGTCCTGCGAAGCTGAACTGGAACTCTACAGATCTTGGACACTTGGCCACATTTTTTACAATTTTCAAAGAAATGTGCTCTTTTACTTTACCGATTGCTCCGTGTGAGAACACGTAGGGTGATTTTGTTTGACTTTCCCATCGACCATTCGGGTAACCAGGTCTTCGTTTGCTTGAAGACACTAACCAACACAGTTCGGTTGATCAGCACCTCACGATAAGTCCGTACTCATTTACAATGGGAATTCCGTTGTACAACCATTTAGCAGTTCCTTCCACCCAAGCTTTATCGGATGCAGCGACATACATGCTGCTCTTTCTATCAGTCGTCGTTCCCTACGAAACGACTGCACCTGATGATGACATACTTCTCATTGGGTTCTTACACCGGCCCCGCTCACGTTGTCCACTGCAACATGTTAACCATTTCGGGGAATTTAACCTCATTGCTTTTAAACATCGGGCGTTTTTCTCCACGCTTTTGTTCTTTCTATTCCATCGTTCCCCAATGGTATACTGTGTGTTTAGTCAAATGTTAAATTTCGACTCCCTTCACTCTCCGAGTATTAGCACCTGCGACTCTTTTCTGGTATTTCCACTTGGTTAGCTTTTTGTATTTATTTTGCGCTTCAGTTTTCTTTTGCGTGATCAATTCCTTCTCTCCGCTACATCGTCCATGTAACTTCTTGTGTATTTAACTGATACTTGAAACACTAACCAATGGACCACATGCGATCACCACAGATTCGTCATCGGAAGATGATTCACTTGAAGATGTCCACCAGCAGGAGCAGATCGCCTCCAGCCTTGGACCTGTGGTCGCTCATTCCGCTGCTCGTTTGCCGCGCGCACAACCTAACACACCCACATTCGCAGTATCCCATCCGAGGTAGGTACTCTTATCTATCGCCAGGTACTGCAAATTTTCTAGCTAAATTTAACTTGCTGTCATCGTTTCTCTGCTATTATCTGACAGCTTAGAACAGTCCCTATGCATTCTCACTATTCTTCCGCATCGACTGCATGTCACTTTTGTACTTCTCCCCTTAAATTGTGAACAGTTTATTTGGTAAATAAATAGGTAAATAGGTGACGTATTCCTTGACGGTGCTAGGCACAGTCCAATTGAGTGGCCTGATCAACTAGTACAGCGAGATCGCATAAAACAATTAATTATACACTTTTATGCAATAGATTTCAGATGGGCTTTTGAAGTGATTAGCACTCTGAAAGTATTAGAGAGGTTAACAAACTGGGAACAATAATATGCAAATTTACTCAAAGTTCAAGTAAAGTAATACGACCAACCATGGAACCGTCTCCAGGGGACATGCTTCCATACAGGGTATTCTCTCGATAGCTTTTACCCGCACTTCCAGCTAGCTGTGTACCAGTGTGGCAAAATAACAAGTAAGCCATTACCTGTTTAACAGCTTTTTTATACGGGCTGTTTCATGCATACATTATGGATGATATAGCCTCAGCACGCTAAGCCATCCGGATCATAAAATTAGGGCATTTATCCTTTATTAGCCAGTGAGTTAGTGGCAGTATGCCATTCATGGGAAAAATTTTCTAGCTTAGAATCTGTAATCTGCCACCTCAAGAAATCCACTCAGTTGTTGTCAATAAGGAAGGACAAATAAAAAAACCTAATAATAATTACAATCTTTAGCCGATGGGCTAATCACAATTTGATACAAACTTTGGCAAACATCGACGATAACACAGATATTTCGAGGGAAAAGATTATTGCATTACGGCCAGGATTTTGTATAGAATAAAGAGAAGGATACATGATCAAAATGCAGTCATAGCTGCTTTATCGCAAATTACGACCAATCGAAACCATCAGATTTGGAGGAAAGTTAGTTCGCTAATTCCGGACAATCGGTCGCGAAGAGAAACTATCCGTTACCAATTGCTCAGTGAAAACACGAACCAAGAAATAATAAATGGGCGCAGTGGTGTAGAAAAGTAATATAGAGCAGGTTTTGAGTGATAACGGCGGTAAACTGCAAAGATAGACCAATAATCTTCGACAAATGACTCCGGCGCTTCTTCTTTTGTGCAACTGTGGTGGGTCTTTTATTGCCTTTTGCTTTTTAATAGGTTTATTGACATACTTTGCTATTCATACATTTAGTCGAACATGGATCGGTCATCTTTTGTTTTTCATTTTAAGTGTCTCTACGACCACATTGGTTGACCACACTTCAATTCCCGGATCCGTCATTCTATCCGGCAGCGCCAGGAAGTCGCACTCTCCAGTTACACAACTTCTTGATACTACATTGGCCGTCGACACCAGTTTCCGAGCCTCACCTACTTTCCAGCATCACTTGACAAATGCTGAACAAAGCAGTTTGGAACTTACAGAGCCAGCCTTGTCGCTACCTTGCTCCTCTTCGTCATCTCCCTTGATTCTTTCCAGTTTGTCAGACGGTGAACAGCACGAGACTTATACTCTCCCCCTTCCCGACACAAATTCTCGCTACGTTGCTGCGACTCATGAGTTGTGGTACGTGACTTTTCCAGCCCCTTTGTTTTCATTTATACTGATGAAGCCTCTGCTGTGTCTGTCAGTGCGTTGTGCTTTTATGCCGAACTTCATCGACCTATCTGCTCGATATGGGTGACTTAGAGCAGTCTGACTGTGATGGTTCCTTCCTATGCTTAACAATCATCTTTTCTGAGTTTCATTATCACCGGGTACAGACCTATAAACGCCTCCTACGTGAACATGAGAGGTCGTCTACACAGTCTTAACACCTCCGTAGTTTGTTTGGTTCAGTTACGCTGCTACGATTTAATCATCTAAGGTCTGTGAGCCAAGTTGTCCCTTTTCGCGCCTTAGTGACTGTTGAGGGTGAACAACATAGGGAGAATAGACGCCGACAAAATGGCGTACTGAGAATGGTCCAAAACAATGCTCGTTGAATAAATTGACTGTATGAGGTGATGGCTTGTATTCACAGATGCGACAAACTCCTCGGTTTTGTCTCCTCAGATGGATTTTCCGCACTACTCATTTGGCCTTTTCAGCAGTTTTCATACCATTTTATCATTTCACGTGATTTGACCATAGTTGAGCTTTTTTCTGAGACGCCGACTCCTGACATTCGTGCAAATGTCCTCCTTTTTATAGACTGCCACAGTTACGCATACATTCCGATGTCGAATCTCGGGTCTGTAGTCTCACAGTGTCTTTGCCGAATGTGCGCATTGCTTTTTAGCTACCGATGGTTTCAATCGAGTTGTTTTCATGCTCTTCCTCGCATAGCCAACATTTCTGTGATCTTTACGCTGAAACTGGCTGCACTACAGCGATATTTGCTCTGCTACTGGCGTCAGCAGTACGTCGGCATGTTTCACTGCAAAGCAACAACCACCAGTCGCGCACAGACTGCGGGTGCTGCGATGTCGCACGCATATAGGCTTATTCGAACCGCAGTGACCTCTGGGTTACAAGCCAGATGCGCCTCATCTTTTCGACCACCGGCCGACTTCTACTGGCTGACGACCTGTTATCTTGTATTTGATCGACGTTTGATCACCTGACCACCACAGACGGTGTGCATTTTCCATCGGCTTCTCGGAGGCCACCAGAACTGGCTGTTCATTATTTTAATCTGCATAGCGCTACTTTTGGGTCAATGCGGCCCCAAGCATCCGTGTGTGTGAGCTCTACACCACTTAGTCAAAACATTTTTAGGTGGTATTCACTTAATTTTGCTCCCGCGAGTGCTGATAGCTGTTTAGTAAGACATTAACCGCACTAGAGTTAAACTAGCTTTTCGTCGGATCATATCCTTTTTCACTTTGAACCACTTCTTCTGGTGCATTGTCTCAACGGTCACATTTCACCGCCGTAGGCAGATGGGGCTTGTTACCTCACACCATGCATGTGGTGCAGCAGCACATTGTTACCAAAATATCTAGCCGCATTGTTTTCTCTCCTCATCACTTGAGCACACTGACAGAACGCGGTACATTACATAAATTTGACTAATCGGTGGCTCTGTTGTTCACTAAACTACGACAGGCAGATCCCCGCTACGGACCATTCTGATTGTCCGCTATACAAGGAACAAATAAAAATTCAATTGTTATTCAGGGAGTTTGTTGGGAAATCGGCACCTCCCCACTTTTGGGTCACGCGCGATTATCATCATGCTGACGTTCGTTATTGCATTGCAGATTTGCGGGTTTCTTTGATGGACCAGTTCGATCGCTGAAGTGCATCTTTACCTCGTGCGTGCGCCAGCTCATCGCACCCTAGCCACCGACCGGCGTTAGTTCGGTCAAATGTGTGCTCGTGCATCCACTGTACCCATATACCGCTAGAAGTCAGATACACCACGAAGCGTTAATCGTATTCCTTATCTCATTCTATTACACTACACAGACTTACTCTTACACTGCTTTTCTTCGTTGTCTTTGTTAGTAGGTATGTGCCTCAAGTTGGGCTACTCAGAAGAGTTGGCAAATCATTTTTATCTCACTTTATCAACTTCCGTTTGTATTTCACATGGGTAGCGTACCGACTCATCGCGTGGTGCATCTCAAACTGCGTTGTTGAGAAACATTACTTACCTTTAGTGACGGCGTTGCTAGACAGACCATAATAAAGTAAGAATCCCTCCGACTAGATCATATACTTCCGATACATTTTGACTCACTTCTTTAACTTACTTTCGCTACATCTAGTTGGGTGCAAGCTCAATGTGACCATTCGACAACGTGTCATAAGGGCGTGAATAACTGGCACATCAACCTGGTCATACTTCGTAGACGGGAACCTCGGAGTTGTTCTCATCACTACTGAGAGACGGTATCAGACTAAGCACTGGTATCATCTCGATGATGCACTTACATTCGGTTTCTTACATCCAGCTATTGACATTCCTCTTCGATTAGTTTGAATAACTTTCCCATTTTCCATTTTTATATATTATGTTTGCGTTCTACCCCATATTCCTTGTTAATTACACTTGTCCTGGTTACGCGAGTCATGACGCATTTGGATTCACCGCACTTCGACGCCCTGATCTTACTTGTCTGACTGAACAAGCTGCATGCATTTCCTATCTGTGTGGCATTGGCCGCAGGATCCCGATGAGCTTTTCGAGAATTGTGTCAGTTAGCAACTATCAGCACTTGCTTGTTGATACAAGCTTCTGGTTCCCTTTTTGTGATGTTCTATTTTCCTCACTGCTTTATGTTCTGCATGGCCCCTCGACGCATCAGTCACTCCGGTCGCGTCTCATTGTGTACTGTCATCTGATACTACATTCTCTTCGGATCCGATTAACGGGTCTTGCTATAATGCCGTCACGCACTAGTCATCTTGTCGCACCAATGCACCTAGTCAACTTGAATGATTAGTTTACACATCGTCTCGTCTTTTTCCTCATTGGCTACGTATGGACCATAAGTATTGACACTTTTGAACTCATGCATTCTCGCACAAACCTTGTTTGGTGCGTATTTTTTGCTCACGTTCTTCCCGAGTGTTTACATCCTAGAATATTGCAGTTTCCACACTTGTATCTTCAGCACTGATGATGCCAACGGTGATAAACGCCCGGCAACTTCACAGATCGCTGCACATTCAAGCCCGTCACCAGTTGAAAGCGCCTCGCACGATCATCAGGTACCTTCTCACACCGACAAGACACGCGACAGTCTGATCACATTATCTCCGCATGCATCATGCAAATCACCGGGGCCTTCCTGCTCCTCTCTTCCGGTGTCCGTTGTAGCCTCCCCAAGCGTCGACGAGGTATCGCCTATTGTCGAATCATCCAGACAATTGATATCTAGGTAATGTGTTGTTTTAGACTGATATGTTCCGTGACGTTGTGAAACCTGACATAACTACACCGCTTTATAGTGCTGTTTTTATGTGGACACTGATGTTGTTCTCTCTTGTGCTTCTGCCGGTCACTACGTACTCATCGATTTTGAGCAATCTTGGATCACAGACTAGTCCGAAGTACAAGGATTTGAAAGGCCTCATTGGTTTCACTAGTGTTGGTCGATGGCCAAAAGGGTTACGCACTTGTTTTGTAGCCGGTTCGAATCCGCGTAGGCGCCGACCTCGTAGCATGCCCCTAGGCCACGCGCGACCTGTGGTAGCTGTGTGACAGCAAAGCGTCGGTACCGTGTGCCTGCGCTTTGTACTACGCGCCACTACAAGCAGTTGTAATTGGATTAGGATGCAACCAGGGTATCGAAACACAAGACTCGGGGCCGGAGAGTAGATGTTGCAGACAGATTGCTGGACCACTGCTACACGAGTCTCCTACTTCATCTCTTATTGACACATAAGATCACAAGGCACTACGATACATCCTCTTTCGGCATTCCGGTTTGTCAAATCATCGGGTCGAATGTGGATGGCAGGGCCTTGAACGACCAATGATGCATCAACAGCGGATGCGCCTGAATGTGACACTCTGTATTACACTGGCTTCAAAGTGTATCCGTTTTATAGCATAAACGCATTTGCACACAGGCCTTCTTTAGTTTGTTAGAGAGTAACTTGGTTCTCTACTTCGGACTAAACACCACATTCCAGTTCAGAACAACCTCTGATGGTACCCACGCTGTTCATTTGAGGCGACCAATTACAGGGCGAAAATGTTAAATGCCTATCTTTCTGTTTTTACTCATTTCCCACTAAACCACGAAAATACCACAGTCTCACTTGATCGCTCGTATTGCTTTTTCTTTGCAAACCGGATCAGACTACATTTACATGTGACCCTCTGCGTGTTCTGCTAGATGCCCACCTGACTGCCTGCTAGCGAACGGTTGAAGTCTGATCTAACCACAAATGAGCGTCTTTGAAAGTTTGGTGCAGGATTGGGCCAATATGTCACCAGAATACTTTTATTTGTCTAGTGGTAGAAGCACTAAATCGGTTCAGGGCTTATAGTAATAAACATTTTTTTACTGATTCCAGAAGTTCCACCTATTGTGACACGGACCAATTTGTACAAAAGTAACCATGTTCTTGCATGACCAATGTGCATGTGTGGAATACTAGGGCTTGGGGTTCATGCAATAGGGTTCTAGTAGATGATTGAAGCGCAAGTCAATGTTTGGAAACGTTGATGTCCACTTGGTTTTGGACCCCTTTTGGATTAACTCATTGAGGGATTTTTCCCATGGCGATGATAGTCATTGTGGTATTCAGGTCAAACGCAACTTGAGGGCTTTTTACTACATCTTACCACATTGTTACATAACCTGAGTGTGACTGGCAGCTTATTCCAGGAAGACATTTGAGCTCATGCTTGTTCTAGCCTTTGGTATACTCAATGTTTAATCTTTGCGAAATTCTCGGGTTGAGCTGTGTTACACTTCGAGTGTAGGCAGATCGGAATAGATCTTTTTATGCTACAGGTTGTAAAGCAGCAACAAGTTCTGCTTTAATCGTCGAATCCAAAGAGGTTCGAGTTGAGATTCCTTGCAAACTTCTCGATACTTCACGACAGAGTGCTTACCAAACAGACGTTTAGTAAACAACCCTTGTAGTCCTTCTCAAGCAATCCTGTCTCTGTTTCTCATATTACCGTATATTATGCTGCGGTGCTCTAGGGTTGGATGCGTGAGTAATCTAAAAAGCTCAACTCTGCACGAGTTGTATGGATTTCGTTGGATATATCAAATCAGTGAGATGTCATCTTTACATCCAAGATAAAGGATTCACAATGTTACGATGCGACCCGTTTTATTTGTATTGACACTGGTCTAGTCACGGCACATTGACATCGTTAGCTTCCTTGGAACCCCTCATTTCTAATGGGATAGCCGAGCAACTATTGACGCGAGGAGTGCCTCTTGCGTTTGTCCCTTCTTACCGGATGGACACACCTTTAGTGCCTCACGGCGAACTGTCCATCTAGAGCTTTGTCGACCACCTCGGGCTAACCGCCGCCACGAAGGGACCGTCTTTTAACACTGAAGTTACTGCGAAAACAACCTCCATTAATTCCTTCAAAAAAGCATGCAACACCGTCTACCACATATCGCACGTGGCACCATTGGGGCTGGTCTTGCATTGGTCAGTCCACGTACAACAGTTTGCTTATGTTACCGAGAATCTTCTCGACGACATTCAGTGTTTCTCTATTAGTATGCTTCGGAATTACAAGATGTGACTTGATTATATAACGAATAGAGCTTGGGGCAGCTGCTCAGTTCGGCTTCCGCTATGTACGATTGGGGGAGATAAACCATGTGAGTCCCCTGTCGCGAAACGACTTGTCCTACTATTTGTTGGTCGATTTCGAGGCAACCTGTCTCTTTTTTCTTTTGAGGTTATGGATGACGTTACGTGTGCATGTCCAGCCTGGTTGCGCTTGCTTAGGGCATTGGAGAGAGAGCACTGGGGGCTTGTCAGGGATGTTGTGAATGGAGTCTGTCTATTGAAATGCTAACAGGGAACGTTTTCTCAGTTTTTTATGTAACCTAAGAGTAACAAGCTTGTCTTGTAATCCGAAGGCGCGGGTTCGAGCCTGCATAAGGACAGGGCGACCCCCGCAGTATCCTTAGCCCAAATGCGACCGGTGGTGGTGGCGCGGCAGCAAACTGTCGCTACTGCGTACCGGCATACTGCTGATGCTCTATTGTGTGCACAAACATATTGAGATGATCCTTAGAACGCAACAAGCACTATTTTGCACCAATATTCCCTCAAATTGTCGAGTTCATCAAGTTTTGGTCTTGTGGACAATTTCTCTGGTTTTGCATATCAGGGCTTATTTTCTGTCATCGGTCTTACTTTTAAGATTTTGGCCTTCGGAGTGCACCACCCGGGTTTGGCAGTTTATGTGCAATCATGCGCACGCATATTTTTCAACTTGGAAACCGTTCCTTCTCCAGAATTATTCATCCTCACAGTTCGCAGCTATGAATTGCAACACAACGTTTGTTCATTATACAAACGTGTGTTGTCTTTGTTTTACTCATTTTGCGCTATGTTTAAGATAATATTTCCATCAAATTAGACGAAAGTTATTGTACCTTTAAATAAATGTGACTATTCCATCTACGACTCCTATTTTAATTAGAATTCTCTCGCAGCAGATCATCTCGTTGCTATTCTATTCAGTCACTACCGGTTTCAGCTCACCGCTGTAGACCAGTGAGCGTAGGCGGCTGCCATGGAAAAAAGGGACTTGACACGAGCACTTTTCATGCAATCCGGACTACAATAACGGTGACTGTTACACATCTTTTGGGCTCTTTTCACTCTTGTTTCGCTCCAGTGTAGAACACATTGAGTTAGTCTCTATCCGAATTCGACATCCAGTTGACTACCGGTTGCACGAACTACTTTGGGTTGTAGCTAGTACTTCCTCCTGTCGTTATCAGGATGACTACGAAATTTGCGCCACTCGACCAGTGCTCAGCGTAGTTACCTCTCTTCTCGCACGGGCGAGAACTTGTCCGATGATTTACCATTTGCTTGGCACCGCTTACATCACAATTACCTGTACATTTGTACATCACCGTGCAAAGTTGGTTGGATGCCAACTTACAACTTTCCCGTCTTCGTCAAGAGACGCCATCAGCGCAACTTATCCAAGCTGTGATTGGATGCATGTTTCTACAAATATTTCACAACATAACCCTATTTTTGTCCACTTTTGACTTATTCAGGAACGCAAAGCCAACAACTTTTCCCGTCACCTTTGCTCAACTGAATTCGTCGTACCCTCCAGATGGTGGGGACGAGATGGCCAACCACCTGGTATCCGTTGATACGAACAACTTGGACGATGAGTCAGCCAGGCAGCACTCATGTGTTTCACCGCAGCCATCCTGCTCCTCCTTGTCATCTCCGCTTACCATTTCCAGTTTGTCCGAAGAAGAAGAGTCAACGGTTGACGCAATGATTATAGGATTCAATCATGCAAGGCAATCCGCCAAGAAGAGGTTAGTTTCATTAATGCATTTCATCATCGTCCGTAGGAGTGGGTGTCTTCGCGGTATACTCAGCCCGCGTGCGAATGGTGGTGGCCGCACTGCAGCGAAGCGACGTTACGGCGTATAGCTGATACATTATTATTATTATTATTATTATTATTATTATTATTATTATTATTATTACATCATCCGTCTTGCAGCTTACTGTGGCTTTCGGTCTGCATATACACTCCGCACCTTCAAAATCATTGGCTTTAGTACCACAATGCATATCCGATTAGTATTCACGGGAGCTATCATAAAGGGGTCTTCATTCGTAACTGCCATTCCAACACAGACTTTCAAATCTCTTTGGTATCATTTTCTTCATCTCTCGTCGCTTGGTCTACGTGCTCCCGCTCCTCTTCCTTCCTCAGTGTGTGCAAACAGTGCACAGCATGCGAGAACTGCTTCCGAACCTACGAATAATTTGTGAGGACTGTCTTCAGTCCTGGCCACAGCAGCGGTCAGATGTCCAATTACGAACTCGGCCCAGTCGATAGCGTTCCTGCATTCCATTTCTTGCATCTGACCGTTAATTTTCATTCCATCCCGAATTATCTTACCTGGTCTTTCTCAGATTCCTATCTTGGTTGTATTTGTGCTCTGACTCAGATTTATCACCACCGTAATTCATCGTAATCCTGGTGACGATGTACGTCGCATAGAAACTGGATCCACTGCGCCCAGATCATAGTTGTTTACGTGAACTGAACTGGAATTGGGGATCACACCTTCAGTAAAATCTATTTGTTGCGAACCTGTGTTGAGCATTTTCACTGTTGCTTCTATGCCATCACAGCGTCAGGCGACGCCGAATATGTACCGATTGTCGCAGGACTTCAAACCCACTAACACACGGATGGCCTCGTTGCTGTATGATTGATTGCACAACCCTATCTTTTAACCATCATCTAGTCTTTTGTCCCCATTGATTCAAATCAATTGTGAGATTATAGCGTTTTCTCGTCAGCGCTACACTTTCCTTCTCAACAACGGGTTGCATCCGCCTTTTTATGGAAGCTAGCTTGGGTACCGCATGGCCAACCTTCCTAATGGATGAATGAATGAGGGTCAGCGTGTTCGAGCGATTCCAGAATCTTCTGCTGCGCCCTAAGAAGTTTCCTGTGAGCATACTTGCGCTCGTCACATACGGCTGCATGAGCGAGGCCGGTTGGGCTCTCCATGTGCCCCTGTTAATCATCAGCGTGACTGCACTGACGATAACTGATGATCTATGTTTATGTGGATGGATCGTCCCTGTAACATTTGCTATCGAATACTACCTACAAGCATCCATAACCTTTCGTAAGCACGTCTGCACTGAACGATCGGCGTTGTCTATCGGTAGAATGCAGTGTCCATTTTCAAATCGGCTTATTTGCGCAGCAAGTATCCTAGCCAGTTTACACGGCACTTGTTGTGAATCAGTTCAGGTAGGTGATTGTGGAGTTTCTGCAAAAATGCGTTGGATTTTGTGTGGGTTTTCGCATGCATCTACCAGCTAAATTGCATCAAATCGAACGAAACCGATCATCAGCTTACGTTTAACTACGAATAAAATCGCGTGCATGCTGTCTCTGCCAGCTTCCACATTATCATTGTTCTTGGTTTGGATTGTTTTGTCTGGACTGTCTCAGAATTACTCGGTCTTTTGGTGATATGATTCCAGCATGCAGCGAAATCATGGACAATATCACGTCACTAATACTACAACATTGTTCTGCTTGGGTTCCATTCTCTTGTCCCAGCGAAATGTTTTCCACGATTTCTGATCTAGTCCAGCCAAGGTTTAACTTTCTTTATCCTTCTTTCATTTGAACCACGCGGTTGCATGTGGAAACTGAACGCTTCTGTCTATCCGAAAACGGTTTTTGGCAGTATGAGTTCGGTTGTCTTTTTGTACTGCTTGAGGCATCAGCAGTACGCCGGTACACCTTACCGACGCTTCGTTACCATGCAACCACCACCAGACGCGCGTAAGCTAAAGATACCGGGGGGGGGGGTCGCCCGGTTCCCTACGCAATCTCGAACTCGCAGCCTTCCGGTTGCAAGACAGACGTCTTGTCTTTTCCGCTACGGGCCGTTGTAAACATTATCAGAGCGTTTCATACGCATAGTTTTGGCAGGATGAAGGTTATCGCTGTTGCTACCCTTTAAAATCCCCAGTGGTGCCAGACAAGTTTGTACCGCTTGACACCGGAATCACGAAACTGGAGAAATCTACACTAGATGAAAAAAGCCACGGTGTCTTCGGAAGCTGTCTACGCCTTAGCGGAGAACACACCTACAAAACTCCTTCAACAGTTGAGACACACAGTTTCCCATTTTCCGAAATCAACCCATGTTACCAGCCTTTCAAGCTAGGTCTCGATCCACAGGATCGTTATATGATTAGAACTTAACATCGAATACATGTGCGCTACTGCTTACGTAGTTGTTCATAGGCTTTTCTATCAGCGATATGTAACCAATTCACCCTTCGCGTTTTGCATTGAGGACCGGTGCTCTTGGTGCACGATCCACGCAATCCATTGACGAGGAATGCAGACATGCAGTGGAATCGGTTGCCACTAGTCCTCCTCTCCACTCACACCAAATTGCATTGTGCCCGGGCCCGTGTGAATTTATGGGGAATTCGGCTACCAGTACAGAGACCTTCCATTTCTCTGGTACTGCTGCCTATTCTTCAGCTGAGGCACAGTTACGGTGGTCAGCGGAATGATGATCTGCATGTTTATCGAGGACCGGGACTATTTACTATTCTCTACGCAGGCACACACACACACAATCCGCCGAGGTTGGTCTATTTGTGGCGCATTGCGTTTGACCATATACAGCCTACGGTACAGTGAACCGATCCCCACCACTTAGTCTTTTGGTCATCGCATCAAGTCATGTGACCCCGGTAATTGCCCAGCTGCTTTCTCCTCTTGCTATTTTACCAAGTGACAACCGCTTCGATGGGCTTGATTAGCTGTGAACTGCTTTTGTTTGTGGGATTGCTTCTCGTGTCGCTTTGCATCCTCACAACGCTTCTTTCGTAGCCACATAGTGCGTTTCTGCTCCCCGTTTCCTTGCTTCCTCCTCTTAATATTGTATTCAATTTCAATCGGAGTTTTTCACCGGAGCACGTCAGCGCTCTCTTTGGGCATTTTCTATGCCCCATAGGCCTCTTTCACCCACCTAGCAAGTAGATCCCAGTCTTGTTGAACCGTAACGCTTTGAAATCGATACTGTCGTATTTGCGTTTCGATCACTGAACATCAGGTCATCAGCACACCGACGCTTCCCTGTCACACGACCACTACCGGTCGCGCGTAGGCTGGGTATACCGCGAGGACGCCCGCTCCTATGCGGATTCGACTCGGTGACCCAAGTGCTGCAAGCCAGACGTGCAATTTTTCGTTCACCGGCTGATTGTTGGTCAGCTGATCTATGTTGCTGAAAACCTATGGTCAACAGATGCTTCCTTTTCCGAGGGAAATTGTTAACGGTTACTTGGGCACTATTTTGCCCTCGACACCTTTTTCATTTCCATCCATCTATGCATTTGCACCATGATTTTACCGACAAACCTGGGGTTAAACTACCCCTGCAAGATTAGCCTTCCAACAGACTAGACCCAGTGATGTCGATGCATACGCTTTCTCTTTTCGACACCCTTCTTCCCCATCAATCGTTGTCCAGCCACTGTTCCCATGCTCCTCGGGACACTCGTGAATGTACGGTGATCGATCATGAACGGGTAGGGCTCGTACAACATGGCTATTTTTTCAATCCCCTGCTCGTACTAATCCTTTTGAGGTCAAGGGCGCATTGACCTTCCGTACAAATACTCTTATCATATTGATCAATGTTCGAATCACCCACACCATATATCGTTGCGCGCGTTTCCGCACACGAGCAGGCACTTGGGCGGAACACTGAGCGGAAGTACACATCATATCAATCATGGCTATGTAGTGAAGATTACCAGCGACACGATCAGCGCATGGGACACGTAAGGCCTTAGTGGTAAGTTTACTTTAATATTAATAATGAGGATCCATTTAACGAATTGTACTGCAACTGACTTCATTTTGTTTACATTATCGGCGCGTTCTCTATGGTCCTCTTGGTAGAGTGGTGTTGGCCTGAATTTTAGCTTCTTGGAAGACCACCGGCGTCGAGTCTAAGTGCCAAATTTCTACGTCCTACTGTTTCTAACGAGAGGCATTGAACACAAACTGATGCAACGATTTCGCGGTCGATGGAGAGTATATGTGTTTTAATCAACTAAAATGTGTTAATTTGCTCCATCCATTTACCCCGGGGACTTATTGGCACCCAGGATACGTCAACCTCGGTTGTGTTGACGAGGTATTGTTTAACTGGGTTTCATAAAAGGAACTCACGACCTTTGTTTCGCAAACTGATAGGTATTATGCAATTCCATTTCATCCAGGCCCGTGGCCATAAGGATCACAAACCTGCGTCGTAATTTCGAGCTCGTGGGTTCGAACTTGCGTAGGGGACCGGACGACTCGCAGTATCATAAGCCCACGTACGACTGTTGGTGGTTACGCGGCAGTGGTGCATTGTTACTGCTTACAGGCGTACTGCTGATGCTTTTCTTTCTTTCTTATCCTCATTACTCTTCACGGTGTTCCTCCGTCGTCACTGATTTATACGTTAGTTTCATTTTACCATCCTTTGGTTTGATATCTCTAGGACCTTTTCTCGTGTACTCCAGTTACCACCATATGATCTGAGCGTATCTCCTAATTATTATTCGGTTAATTTTTGGCACTCAATCTCCCCATCTTTTTATATCAGTCCCGTCAGCGCCAGTCCAATGTGATTGTCTCTTGCCTTGCCATTGCATACCGTTAGCAGCCACTTCGGTGTTACGTCATCTGATTCCTGTGCTCCCGTCCCGTTGGTATATGTGTGCTTCCTCTCCGTCTGGTACTTTTTAGACTACCGTTTCTCGACTCTTGCTCGGGTGAGTTCACCAGCCCTGCGCGAATTCATCTCCTGGAACATAACTACTCCTGTCCCGCACAGTATACTCCGAAAACCATTGTACGTTGACAGCACTGGTTTTTATTAAACTGCTGTGCTCACGTAATTGTGCCATTTTCATTTGCCAGGCCTGTTATACTCTATGTGCTCTCATCATCTTCATGCCTCTGGCCTTTCGATTGCGCTTTGGCTAAAATGCTACTGTACCTGATAGGCGACTTGATACCCTAATTTGGGACCCGTGGGATGTGCGGTGGTTTAGGTTCGGGACTCACATTCTGCATGCTCCAGGTTTTCGCTTTCTTTTTTGCTTAATTGTGGATCATTTGTCACCGTTGGTGTATACATGACAATAAAGTACTGACCTACTGCTGATAGCCCTGTCCAATCGGCGCTTATATCTCATCAGCATCCTTGACCGGGGACCGAAAAGATTATGTACTAATCCGCGTAGTTGATGGTAACCTCGCGATATAGCCCCAGCCCACGCGCGATCGGTGGTGGCCGCGTCGCAGTGAAACATTGTTACGCTGTACCGACGCATTGCAAATTTCTTATCAAGGGGAAATCGACCATTGACACCAATGTCGCTTTTCGATAGACTGGCGGCGTTCGTAGTCGATCTCACTGACCAACGTGTGCATCCCTATGCAATTTCGATTTGCGTTAAAAAGCTGTATTGCAACTCTTCGGTTTGGAGTATACACCATCGCCTGTGGTTGCAATAATTACCCGCGGTAGACCCGGTCACCTAGACTATCACGTGCTTTCCTTGGTCGTATCATCATCCATTATACACGTCAGCTAGAGGTGGGAAACACCTCAGCTACTGTGCCCCAATAAATAAAGGAAAAGGAAAATAAATACAACAGTTGCATGTCAGCTGAGCTACCAGCAACGGATAGGCATCGTTCCAGTAAGCTACTAGCCGGCTACTAGGCAAAAAGAAAAATTATTATGTTTTACGCTATGAAATGTTGGAGAGGAGAGGCTAAAAGGGATGGGGTGGGACAAAGAAACTCACAGCAGGAACGCCACTGAGGTCGGCTCCTTGTCATATCAGGAAGTATATCCAGCCAAACGTTTTCATCGTCTTTTGGACCCAACCAGGGAGCCGTGACGCTCCAACCCAGGTCAGCTCCGAAGTGAGGGCCTTCAATCCTCTGGACCAAGTCATCGCTTGGCCGCCCCTCCTCTTCTTCCATCCACATCCCCGGTGAGCAAACAACGCACGTCGCGGGAGTCGGTGGGCTGACATGCGTAACATGTGGCCGAGCCGTCGGAGCCTGGTGCGTGAAATGACGGTGCTGAACGGTTCATTTCTTTTTCCTGTGCCATAAACAAGGTGTCGAACACGCTCGTTGCTCCCGCAGTGTTCCCACCAGATGTGAGCCAAACTGCGAAGGCACCGATGGTCGAACGTAACTAGCCTCTTTATGTCCGCTGATCTTAGGGGCCAGGTTTCGCCACCGTACAGTAGGGTCGAACGTACCGCTGCATTGTACACTCTACCCTTCAGGGCGAGAGTGATGTCGCACCGTCGCCATAGGTGTCGAAGGTTAGCAAAAGTGCCTCGAGCTTTTGCTATACGGTTCGTGATCTCGTCTTCGATCCCAAGGACGCTGATACAACTTCCCAGGTTGTTGAATTTTTGTACGACTTCTAGCTGATCCCCACCAATGGTCAGCGGAGGAGGCGGTCCAGGCCAATCTTGAAGGAACGCTTTGCACTTCGAGGGTGCAAAGCAAAGCCCGAAGCGACTGACAGTCATTGCTAATCTGTCCAGCGCGGCTTGGCACGTCTGGGAGCAGTCACAGATGAGGGTAATGGCGTCTGCATACTCCAAGTCAAGAAGTCGTTCTCCTGGGAGTAGCTCCACACCTTCCAAGTCATGTCCTGTAAATGCAATCTCCATGACTTGGTCAATAGCGAAGTTGAAGAGGTGAGGTGACAGCAGGCATCCTTGTTTCATACCGTTGGAGATATTGAAGGTTGGCGACAGTTTGCCGTAAGCCCTCACTCTGCCTGAGCTACGCACGTATAGTGATCGGATAATATTTACATATTTCTCGGGCACACCTTTCCTGGGTAGACAATTCCAAAGGGCACATCGATCAACCGAATCGAATGCACCTTTGATGTCGAGGAACACGACTAGGGTGGGCCACCAATATTTGTGACGGTGCTCCAACAACTGACGCAAGGTGAAGATGTGGTCGATGCAGCCACGACTCCGACGAAACCCTGCTTGATCCTCACGATTCTGGCTTACACGAGTGCTTTCCTTAGTAGACATGACCGAATCATCTGCCAGCTACGCTACCTTACTTGCACTTCAGAATTCATAGACTCCGGTATTGCAATCAAAATTTTTTTTCTGCAAGGCATTTGACTGTCTGTCTCGCAAACAGCTATTGAAAAAGGTGGAATCTTTTCGAGTCCTCATCCTACCTTCGCAGTCGATATCCAATAGTCACTTCGGGCAACCACACTCTTCCGTACGCCCTTTCACTAGCCGTGTCATCCAAGAGACTGTACTCGGCCCTTTGCTGTTTCTCCTCCATATCAATGATATTACATGCCTATCAAAATTGGCCAACTCTTTTTATTCGCTGATTATATCAAGATTGTCTATGAACTGGCATGATGATATTCAGAACGCCTTTGCGCTTAAGGAATGGTCCGACACGTGGTTGATATAATTCTCGGCTGACAAATCAAGCATTACGTCATGGTTGCTCCATCCCGGAAGGGTCACTTAAACCTAACAATAAAACTATGTCCTTACGGCAGTCTACCCGTGGTCTTCTTGTATCTTCCGTTTTTTCCCCAATACCAATAGCCAAAGCTAAGGAATCCATGACTGACTTATGCCACCAATTCAATACAATCCCTGCCAAACTCGAATTATTGAAAGCCATCACTCGTTCTATCCTCCACCCGGCCCGTAGCCTAAACGTAACGAGCATGTGTAGTAATCTGACGGCTTCGCTTTCGAGCCTGCGTAGGGGCACGGTGACCCTCGCAATATTCCTAGCTCACATGCGACCAGTGGTGGTTGCGCAACAACGAAGCGTCGGTCATGCGTGCCAACGTACTGCTGCTAGCTTCCTTTTCTTTTTTTCTTTCTTATCCTTGAATACTGCAACTTCATCTATGGCATGCGCAAGCTGGACGGGAAAGCTATGGGAAATTTACAGCGACCATTCGCCAATTGTTTGTTTAGCAGCACATCTACCCTAAACTGCCGTGGGCGTTATAGGCTGCTTCACGTCGTTCCCTTCAGACTGCCACGTCTGCAGCAAAACTTGATGCACCTTCACAACTAGTTATGTCAGAAAATGTACTACACATGCCTAATGTGGCCGGTGGCCAAGTGGTCTGCACGCCTGGCTTGCAGTCATAAGGTCACCGGTTGGGATCCGCGTAGGAGTGGGAGTCCTCGCGGTATATTCAGCCAGCGCGCACCTGGTAGTGATCGCGACGCAGCGAAGCTCCATTACGTCGTACAACTGACCTATTAATTAATCAAGTAATGTAATGTGGAGTTAGAAACAGATACACATCGAAGATTACGCAACAAAATATATACGCTTGTTGTACCAAGGTCTATCATGCTCTCTTTTTCCTGCTCAGCTATGTCGTCTTGTGGAACAGCCTGCCAACCAAAATCAGGGCACGCGAAAACCCGACATGATTACACACCAAACTTGATAGCTTCTTTGTTCTTAAATTGACATATCCATCTTCTTATCCGACAAATCACCTAATGAATTATTCCAGAATGTATCAAGGTGCTCATCTACTTAATCTGCTACCTTTTTTGACAGCAATATTAATCGATTTTGCCATTAGAATTAAACATCCTAATCAGTATTTAGTCCAACGGTACATTTTAATATGTAACGCACAATATGTAAAGGTCTGAGATTGATGGGTGTTACCGAAAATAATTCTTCAGTCAGTATGCTATTAGATGGGGTTTCGCCCCATCACTTTGCCTTATATTTTTCTCGGTTTTCACCCGTTGTTTTCCACGAATTAACGTCGTTTATCCCCCATTACCTAATTTATCTACTAAGTCCTCCACAGATGTTTTTCTTTTACCTTACTGTTTACCCTGATCGCCCTACAAAGATACCGCGTTTGAGGACAAATTCACTGTTCAACCGGCGAGCATCTGATTACCGTGACTCGAATGTGAATGATCTCTCTGATCCTGTCCTTCAACCGAAGCACTTGGGAGTGGATGACGTGTCGTTGGAATCTAACTCACCTCTGGGATGTTTTCAGGACGATCGCCTTCCTCTCCTAACCGCTCGTAAACGATCGGTTTTCCGCCCACCACTACCGATTCGGGATTCAAGTAGAACCCTCTGTATCGACCATCTTGCTTTCGATTCGACCTCATCCCCGATTGTGTCCATGGCAGCCCCGAATGTACCTGTTGTTCCTCGCAAGCAGAAACGTACTAGGCGGAAGAGTCCCCTTCGTCCTCTGCCCACCGGTGCGGCAGATAGGATATATGAGCCGCGCAGCCCACCTGTAGTTTCTGAGGCCACTACTCTAAGTTGTGGACCGGAGAGCCGTATAGTCGATCTTACACACGACTCAGAAGAAGAGTGTGAGAAAACTGTTTTTGCTTCTCCTCCTGTGGTTCCCCATGGACTTACACGTATTCCATCACGAAGGGCTGCACTCCGTTCGAAAAGCACCATGTCCTCTTCCAAAGATGCACAGTCCACCGCAGCGCTTGATTGTTCTCTCATTGGACCTGCTAATGAGTCTACGAATTCCTCCCTGCAGATGGAAACAAATAGCAGTCACGGTCCATTGCGCGCGAGCCCAGAGGAATCGGACCCAAGTACGCGCATTATGGTTGATGTCTTCACCGGAGAGGTATTCGTCGACAATCGACCACTTCGGCAATTGGTACCCGGCATCAAGATGTCCAAAGGGAGCAGAGCAAACTCGGTAAGTTCACACCCGATATTCAGATACTGTGTTTGCCGTTTTCGCTTCACTATCACGCGCTCGGCAGTACAAAATCGTACCGATGTTTCTTCTCCTCGACTGAGGGCGACTGCCACAAAATGCTATCACTCGCATTTGCACAACCGAACGCCCAGAACCCGTTTGGCGTGATCCTTAGCCTACTTCTGAAGAACGTCAACCGGAAAGCAGAGATGTGTTACACGATTATCCTTCACTCCAGTCCACTTGTGCGTAGATGAGATGAGCCTACTCCGTTTGTTTGATCTAGTTCACCTTACAGCTAACGTGTTTACTAGATCAGAGGCCAAACGACATCATCTCACGCCCCCTTACAGTCCCCGCAGCCTGATGGTTTCGTCACTATCTGCTGTTATAGCGCTGCTGCGGTGGTTGAGTATGCATTTCCTTCTACTCTCCAAAGTGCAAACCTAACCAACCCTCACTGACGACTGGCTCTCGACGCCGATATGTGATCTGTTGCGCTTTAAAACTCTACAAATTGTCCTAAATCCTCCCAGACTGCGTGTTAGCGACCTCAGTCAGCTCCCGGGATGTGGCTTTGCGGTCACACTCCTGATCTGGAAGAAAAAGAATTCCATTTCACGTTTTAACGAGGACTATTCCCTTGAAGGATCAGCTCACAATATGTATTTGTCGATGCGAAATGTATGCTAGGATAATGACTCGCTTACTACTGCTTGTGACCCTCCGATGTTTCTACCCCACCTCGTTGGATGAACGTTTCGATCCTTGTGTCATAATTAGTGAGCTCCGTGTAACCGATTGATGCGGTCTTCTCAAGTGTTGTTATCAGCTGGGTGGCGACTAAATTGTTGGCATTCCTGTTTCATGACACTTTTTATTTTCTCTGCGATTATTCGTTTTTATCTGGGCTCGGGGAAGAGATTCCTGGATTTGCCTGGTACGAGCCTTCGCGACCAAGCGACATCCAACTCTGCACTGATGATGTCATCTCGATTGGTGACGAAACGTATGCAACCAAATTTTCAGGCTCGGCGAACAACTGCGCAACTAAATCGCCAACCCGAGGAGAAGAATGAATTTAATGTCCCTACTTTATGAAAATGTGAATTTTAAGGTATCTGGGTGTTTTGGCGAATAACAATGTAGATGGAACTATGAGTGCGTATAGTAACCACATGAGACTAGAGCGAACGGAAGGGGTAAGCAAGGGAATATGTAAAACAACCTTTGAAGAGTAAGTCTCATTCACTTCCTCGTGAGCTCGCACCTCAAGACTAGGTCTGTAAGATGACATGACACGTGAATGAACGGCAGAGATGCCGATGGAAAAGCGGGCTTAGGTGAGTACCTTGGCGTTGTCGTGGCTTAGTAAGAGGCAAACAGATGATGAACCTGAAGAATGCAGTGCCGTACTCGGTTGGCTTTGACTCAGGCACACTCATTGGCGGAAACCTTGATGCATCTCATGCTTACTAGAATTTATAACTATTGATGTGACGTTTCTTCAGGGAGGCTGGATCCCTTTTCATCGATTGAGCACTCTGAGTCTCATTCCACCAAGGCGTTGTACTCCCCATCTTTCCACTCAAATATCTCACGAAGGACTTTGCGTGATTGCTGTGTTCTCCTCTACAACATTACACATCCGTCCAACCCACTTAGTGCGGACCTAGAGGACTCAGCCGGAGACATGGTCTGCATTTATTATTGCCTACATTCAAGGAAACAAGGCTTGCACATGGGTACATTGACCATTAGAAGTTGTTCTACACTAGCCTCTGTCGCTCCTATCTACTTCATCATCTGTCTAACGCATCTCTTAATAACAAAGATAGCTGCGCTCTTTTAAGTTTTCCAACGGCTTATCCCACGTCGTCACGTTCATTCGTCGAAACTGTACGGTAGTTTCGGCCAAGTAATGGTGCTAGTTCTGACCGTTTGGGCTTGTGCTTTCTGATTTTGCATTCAAGATGTTTACCAGAATTGTCTCTGTAGTACAGACTTTAGTAACTATTGGATTCTATAGTCACCGGCCTCTTTATTAGAAACCACAGTTTGCTCATTTATGTTGGTCAGCTCTCATTATAACAGAGATGACCACAATCGAATGCAACTCGTCGTCGCTCTGCGCGTTCTACCATTTTATGTTTGTTTCGTTTACAAAACAGCGCACACAAACTCGAAACATCTTGACTAACGATTGAAGCCCATTGACGATGGCTATACTTTTCACATAATTTTGGGAGCCAATTTAGTTGTTTGGTACATCTTCCTCCTGTTACAATGCGCATGCACCCCCAGCCAAAACCATTGCCAAGCCCATACTTGGTCGTCGCTCCGCTGTTCTTCCTGTAGGAATTCAGAGTTCTGTATTTGTTGCAGGGGACGTATACACGATAGCTCGCCATTTATCAACGTCGCGATTGGAGATTATGTTTGTGACATGGTCAAAAAAGCCTTTTCGACTAATCCACGGCTTATACGATCTCGGTAGCACTGATACTGCATACCTAGGCTACTCGACCGAGTTGGCTTAACCCCTTTCCTACCTTCATTTTTAAGGGTACTTGTTAACGTATGATTTAAAGTTTTGAATTAACGTAATATTCACAATATTTTGGCTGGACATTCAGAAAAGGCTAATCCTTGTTATTCTAAAGTCATTTTAACCAATCCATCCCTTAATCATGTTTTAGGTGTTTTTAAAAAAAGAACGCCAGCAGTACGTGGGTTACTTGTAGCCATCTGACTCAGGCGGATCATAACTCGCTGCATTTTCCCCATCATTACCAATTACATAGGCGAGAGAGGTCCGGTAACCAGCTACAAGTTTTGATGGTTGTTACGCGTACCTCCACCGAAAATATAGTCCAAATGTCACCTTTTACTACTCCAACCACTAGTAACTGACCAAGCTCGCTTATAATGCCAACGGATGATGTCGGCTCAGCAGGGGATTAGGTTCTCTGGGGGCCAACCCTGCTCATTGCAAACTTGGATAGCAGTGGTGGATCAGTATACGCATTCTATCACAGTCAATTATTTAGCCACCGCGGTTGGCGCTCGTTCCCTTTTCATAGTGGTCTTGACTACGGACTTGTTAGAGAGAGCCGCGAGTTCTAGTCCCGTAGGGGACAGGTGGAATGCATGTTACTAACGATTTCCGAAAGGATGAAACGACCACACAGCGTTTTTGCAAGTGTACCGTCTAACTGAGTTTAGCTGTGACGAATGATCTAAAGTATGAGGCAAATTCTACCTTTCTTTACTTTGAAAATACACTTGTCGTGTTGTTCAATTCCTTCATGCTGTTTGCTCTTCATCCTAGCACTGTTGTTTGTTAGACAAACTCGTGCTGTCGTCCTCTGGGCGTCACAGTAACTCATCAAATCCAGTCACCGAGACACCCATTGTTTCGACGTGCACGTGACTTGTCTAACCGATACCCTCAGCAGAGTTCTACCACATCTACCATCTGTTTTGTGTTTGATTATGTTCGGTCTGTTCTCTCTGACAGATTCTATGTGTGACGAAGAGACACCAAAAATCAACTGCTCCTAGCAAACGCAAACGCCGTCGTCCATCTAGGCCTTCGCAGTCGGCAGGGTCAACTTTTAAAAGTGCCAAACATAAGCAGCCTTCTCTCAGTCGGCCACCGAACACTCTGAGACAAACTCGTTCACACCACGTGACTGACCGCAATCCCTCCATGTCGTCATCAGGAACACTTGATCTCACCGACGCGATTAACTTATCTCACCCAACCGTCGCTGCTGTCTCTCCGGTATCTTGCGCACCTGTTATGTTGTCCGGATGAGGATCCCCCCCCCCTTTTGTCTGCACAGCACATCGGATCACCGAGGGCGCTGGGCCCGACCTCATTCCTCTTTCATGCCTTTCAGTCGCGATTACTTTTACCGCATTTCGTCAATCGCTTTTTTGAAGAACTTTGAGCAAAAAGATCTAGTCTTCATTCTATGAACTACACAGATTTTCTACTCAGAGTTGAATATCTCATGCCAGTTCAGTTGTGTTATTTCTTGTCCTTCGATTCGGGCTCAAGTGCTGATCGATTGAAATGATTACTTAGTGGTTTCAGCGATGTCGTCTTCGGTTTGGTCTTAATGAGGGTTAAGTTTTACAAAAAGGCGTTACCTTTTCTGGTGTCCATTTGAGTAGATGCCTATTCGCATGGACTTCTTAGTAGCATTGGGCTCAGTGATCCCCAGTAACGTCCATAATTATTTACCTCTAGTGACCTCCGAACGATCAGTGGTGAGTTGGCACCCTCCTTCTCCATGACCATACTGTCTCAGTCGAAAGCCGTTGCCTGATCCTTACGCCGCTCTTCAATTTTTAATTATCCATGGTTTCGAATCATGGGTTCTGTTTAGACATTTGTTGTTGCTACACGCTGTGTTAGCTGTTTCCACTGCGCGTACCATCATTTCGCAATGTACATGGCTCGGAATGCCGTCCAGCTCAAACCGATTCCCCGGGACTGTCGCAAATAGCTGACTCCCTCCGCATCACAGATGATTGGCGACACCCTAGAAATCATCGCTACATTTCAAGATGTCTTGCATGTTGCTCCTTTCTTTTTTCGGAATGTTAACTAGTAGCTATTTTCAGCCACATGAATGAACCCACAGCGTACACTGATCTCTCCTGGTTATAACTTATGCCCAGACCGATCTCATCATTTGCCAAGCGTATCGGTTTCGCGTATTCACAATTTTTAACTCCCATCGAACTTGGTGCACCCACGCTATTAAGAAATACCGGAAGGATGAAACCCCTGCTTCTGTTTCTTTGCGAGTCTTTACAGAATCTCAGCTTGTTGTATGTTCGATAACAATTTCCCTCAAGGGCTGGCCACCATTTTGATACACAAGCAGCTTGTTTGGCTTGATGCTGAGGTGTGCTGTCCTCCTAAACGTTGGAATGAAACATCTAGATCTTTCCGATATCATATGCAAACTTTTTGCATGTCCCGTTCAAATGCAGTCGGTTAGCAGACCAGTTTTTCTGAACCAATACATGACGCCTAAGCAAGACTGTCGGTTTGGGAAATTGGGAGGGAGTGCGAGGCAGAGTCAAAAAAGTCATCAGCAGTACGGCGGCACACCGTACAGACGCTTTGTTGCCACGCGACCACCACTGGTCCCGCGTGGGCTGAATATAACCGTGCGGACGCTCACTCTTACACGGATTCGAACCAGTGACTTAAAGATTGCGAGTCAGACGTGCAGTCCATTCGGTCACCGGCAGTGTTTCCGAGCTCAGTCAATGTCAAAGTAATGCACGCGGCTTGACAGCGTTGGGGCATCCAACTTTGTGGGCAAGGTGGAAATATCGAGTGAATTTCACCATAGCTGCACCAGTTAAACGGTCCCTTTGCGTTGGGATTGCTAGTGTAATACCGTTTGATCGTCATCGACGTTCATTTTCTGTGCTAGGTGACGGTTGAAAATTCGCTGTCCCCTCCCTTTTTCTTCTATGCTTGTCTCCACTTAACCTCTGGGGCGGTGATAGCAAGCGTACTTATGCATTTGGCTGCCACTCCGTCAGTCAGCTCACTGGACGCAGCGGCTGCGTGTAGTACCAATGGGTTTTGTTGCAGCGGTACACTAAATACGATAACACGGTGCTATCGGTTTGTGGTTATTTCATGAGCCAAAGTGAAGCGTTCATGAATTGCTCGGCTGCAAGATCATGTTGCACAGAGTGACCCTACCTCAAAGCTGACTAACGACTGGTTCATAAGTTAGGATGGGCGGTCCTATCGAGATATGCATCATACCAAGTTACATTCCACAAATATTTATTCTGTCAGCTGTCCCAATTAAGTTCTATTGTTGACCGAGTGACATTGCCGTTTTCCACACTTATGTCTGCAATTCGTGAGCGTTGTTCCGAATTCGCCAAAATCTATGCAACTAACTGCAAGGAGTCAGACCAGGAGATGGTACAAATATTCGCAGATTCGAAATGCAGGTGAATTCCGACAGCACTTTAGCGGGATATACTCCTCGTTCGATCTCGTTTGTGATGAAGATTGTAACTGTGGTGGTGGTTGTTGTAAAGTCTACCATATGTCTTACACTCTCTTGGCGACTCAGTGTCTTTTTCGTTCGCACGGTTACGACTTAACAACTTCCCATGTTGCGCCCGGAGTGCCTGATGCTGCAACGACGCTGGACCTTAACGTGATGCGATGGTTTGCCTAGCTCTTTTACCCATTGACCTATACTGGGTGGTGACTCCTAGTCCTTCGGGAGCTACTATTATCAGCTTGGTCAATGGTTAGAGGTCAGACACCCAGTCCCCTTGTCCTCCAGGTTGGAGTTTGATATGCGATGGCGTTCATTTCTGTAAAACTAAATCATTTCCATCTCCCCGCTGTCTTGCGGTCGGGCCTTTGTAGCCAAAGGCTTTGGTTGAGGATCCTGATCTTCCTCCTATGCAGGTCTGGGCGCCCTGGTAGTATCTCCATCCACATACAGCAAAGACACTTTCCCCATAATCTAACTACATCCTTCATCGGTCGTCGCGCAGATAATCAATAGTTGCTGCATACGACAGGGCGGATAAGCGAAAATGCTGAATACTGTATTGTGGAGCAACTAGCAATGAATTCTGTACAACCCCTTCGAAATATGGTGAAGAGCGTATTAAAATTTATCACATGTGAAAATCGTTATCGTTCTCATGCATCATGTAAAATATCTGACTCACGGTATTGTAGGACTCACAAATGTGAGATGTCATCGGAACTGCGCAGTCTTTCTATGAATCGAATAGTGGTAAAATGACAATCCAACAACGTTATGAGCTGCTGTGGCCTCTATCACATGTTCGGGCAACGTGTTCCGGATAGTTACCTCTCCGTTCGAAGCACAGTGGGTGGGGAACTTGCTTCACAGTCGGCACCACAAGTTTGTACATGTGTCCACGTGTGCTGCATGGTCATCGTAGGTGCAGCATTGGTCTTAGCATTGGGAAGTCACCGAGATGTAGAATACGGTAGGTCATAATGAGGTCGACGGTAGGACAAGGTATAGAGCCCCAATCTCTCTCACCGGTCTTCATACCGCAAGCCACGTAAACTCGGGATAAGTCTGCTAGCAACGTGTTGGACCCATTCGATCTTCTGTGCGTCGCCTCGAGTAATCGGAAAGTAGGCGGGCGAACCGTACTCTAGCATTCGTCGAGTGATGGAAGAGAAGAGGCGAATAACAGTCTCTTCAGACCATGTGTCGAAGCTACGTTTGAGTGCCCAAAGCATGCGCAGTCCGTTACGAAATAGCCTGCTCGTGTTGTCTACGGACTTCAAATCGTAGCGCGAGAGTACACCTAGGTTCTTTGTAGAGAGTGTGCGGTTGGCTGTCAAGCGTGTACGTTCGGCCGTCAGCACCCTTCCCCAGGCTCATAAATACAGACTTGGCTAGGTTGACCGGGAGATGAACTTCTGCAGTTTATGTGGGTAGGTGGTTGAAGTCTTGCTGAAGTACTCCACAGTCGTCGGGAATGTCAATTTATTCCTAACTCTTCATGTCGTCCGCAAACAAGATACGCGGCGACCGGAGAAGCTGAGGTAGATCGTTGATGTGGATCAGAAACAGGGTGTGCTCCAGCAGAGTACCTTGAGGTACGTCAAATGTAGAGGGATACCAGTCAGTTAGATGGTCGTCGACCTGTACCCTCCACTTTCGTCCCACAAGAAACTCGCGGATCCACCGGTGCAGTGAGGCACCGACACCACACATCGTGAGTTTGCGAAGGGTGACCTCATAGCTGACTTTTTCGAACGCTTTACTCAAATCGATGAGTATCATTTCAACAGACTTCCCTTTGCTTATTGCCTTCAGCCACTCATACCTAGTCGCAAGCAAGTTTGTAATGCATGAGTGGCCTTGCGTAAAACCGTGCTGTGCGGGCTTCATGACCTCTTCTGACTTACAACTGCAGCAACCCCTTCTTCACCATTTTCTCAGCAACCTTTGCCAAAATAAGTGTCAACAACTTAGTCTGTAGTTGTCTATTTTGCTAGGGTCGCTGCGTTTCGGAATAGGCTTCACCACCGAATATTTCCAGTCAATCGGCGACGAACCTTCGGACAGCGACCTGTTGAAAAGGTCAGTCACAACAGGAGAGATGTTGGTGGTAAGTGACTTGAGAATCAGTGGGTGGAGCCCATCAGATCCGGAGGTTTGGTGCCGTCAAGGTTGGCGAGTATTTAACATACTTCTCCATGAACCTTACTGTGAGGCGCACCATGCGTCTCCCCCGATTGACAAATGAGAAATTGTCTCGGCCCTCGGTCAGGTAAGGCTATCAAGACGCACCGTGTACCGAACTTACGCTGTCTTGTCCTAATGACAGCTTCAATTGAATAGAAACGGTCGCCATGTGTGATGCAGGATCATTTGCTTGTGGCACTATCAATCGGCACTGCACCAGTCACTGGATATCCGAGAGGTCGGGAAGCAAGAAGAAAACCCACGGTTAGCTCTGAGCACAACGACAAAACGGGCTATTAGCTGCTAACTAAATCGGAGCCTGCGTGCTGGACCAGTCGGGCTCAAGAAATGGAGGCAGTAGCAGTAGGCCATTACCGCAAGCTCTCTCAGCTGATCCACATCACCGGTCCCAGAAAATCAGACCTTAGTGAGACAATCAGAGACAGCGCGGGTGCACTGATGCACAATAAGGAGGACCGTATGGCCTGTTTGCCTAACACTTTCGAGATCAGTACACTTGGTCCCCTGCTTCCGGACCCGTTCCTACTCACTTGATGCAGGACGAGCCATTGATGGTTAGTTTAGAGCCTCCGTCGGACGCTGTGCTATGAAACGCGATCACAGTCCTCAATCGTTTTCATGCTGCTGGCCCGGAATGCGTCCCACATGCACAATTTAAGTATGGAGGTGAGGTCCTTTGCAAAGCACTGACCTCCCTATTCGAACATATCTGGTAGGAAGGGTGTCCCGGCTAATTGAAGTGAAACGATTATAGTAGCAATGCACACGAAAGGCAGTCGCACAGACTATTCTAACCACAAGGGTATTAGCCTAACACCAGTTGTCACCAAATCACT